CCGCAACCAGTATCCAGGATGCACTCGCCGGCCCGAGTCCCGCCGGATTCCCTGGACCCCAAAAAGTCCAGGGGAGCCGGCGGGATTTAGGCGGTGGGCAACCGGTGACGGATGAGGCAGCCTTGATGGCCATCAGGGTCCAGGGCAAAGCCCTGGTCGCCGGGACGGCGAAAGCGAAAGGGATACGGAGGGCGGCAGTCCCGGCCAACGGCCGGGATGAGCAATCAGCGAACCCGCAGCAGCCCGGCCCGTAGGGTTCGCTCAACACCCACTCGGAAAGTGTAGGGATTAAGGAATCTAAACCAGGCCTGACTGCTCCTTGGGCGTCTATACGCTTTTACTTCTTGGGACATTGATTTAATGACAGCTATCCCGCAGCACTTGCTTATAGGTCGTCAGCTCCGCCCCCTGTAGCCGCAGCTCGTAGAGCTTGGCCACCCTGATGAATCGGCTGACGTACTGACACCGGCCGGAGGGCGGCAACCATTCGTCCGGCCCTTTAGCACCCTTTCGCCGATTCAGCGAAGCTTCAACAGGCCAGACATTCACCAGGTCATTAGCAAAACGTTCCCGACGCTCCTGGGACCATTGATCCGCTCCGCGATCCCATGCCCACTTCAACGGTACGACATGATCCGCATCAAGGGTGGTGGCATCATGAACCACCTTCCCAGTGAACGGGGAAATCCAGCGACCGGCAACAACTCGGCACTCCCGGTCACTGGCGAACCTCGCAGGGACTGTCGATAAAGCAATCAATGCCTCCATTCGACTGTTGCGGCAATCCCCGTCAGCGTCGGCCCAACCGTGCCCAAACAACGATCGCTCGTAATCGGTGCCGGCGACCCCATCCTCTCCCAAGGCCGCCAAAGACAACCCATTGGGCAGGCGGCCCCCTTTGTTCAGACAGTCCTCTATCGTCTCAAACCCCTTATAGCTTTTCGTCCGCTCATAATACGAACTGACCGGCGGATGACAGATACCACTGCCGGATTGCTTTATCACCTCCCCAGCAGGAGCTGGGAGAGGGGAGACAACCAGACCGACAAACCACAACAACGCGCTGATAACCCATTTCATCAAACCGTCACTTACCCCAGGAATTCAAAATGCGGCTGCTTTCCAGCACGCCGATCAAACGTCACGGTGACATCTGCCCCGGCCTCGCGATTCAACCAGGCGATCAGATGATCCGGAAAATCCGCATTGCCGGCCCGGAAATTGGCCAATGCTTCCCGCACCGCAACCCGGTCGGCAACGACCAGCTGGGCCACATCCAGGAGCTGTTCAATCACCTCCGCGATACCATCCCGGTCCACGTCATAGCAGCGCTCCAGAACCCAGCACAGCTCGCACAGTACGACCACAGACACTTGGCACGGGGCATCGGGTGTGCACCGCTGGTGCATCACCTCACTGGCTAAAGCGTGTTGGCGCTCATCATCCTGGACGAGGTAACGCACCAGGACATTGGTATCCAGCCCTATACTCATTGCCCGCTCGCCCCAGCCTTGATTGCAACGTCCATATCCTCAACGCTGACTGACCGACCCTTATTAGGGATCATCCCCTTTAGTACCCGGAGATCCTTTTTGGCAACGGACACCCGGAGCTCCCCGGCATCCGTCAGACTCCATTCAACCCGGTCGCCCTTCTTGATATCCAACGCGTTACGGATATCCCGAGGAATCACCAATTGGCCCTTTTCGCTGACGGTGGCCACGCCCATAATCGTGCTCATAGACAAACCTCTTTAGCTGAACGTTCACCAACATCTTACAGTAAGACGCGATGTAAGACCACAAATACTACCAAAGGTAAGTCATCTTAGGAGATGCAGATGTGCGGCCGGTACGCTCTACACACCCCAGCGTCATTCCTTGCAAGGCGGTACTTTGACCACCACATGCCCGTGGGCGACCAGGTGGCTCGGTACAACATCACACCTGGTACTCAGATTCTGTCCATCCGCTTAGGCGAGGGAGGTAAACCCTTATTCGACCTCGCTTACTGGGGCTTCAGGCCTCGATGGGCGAAAGACAAAGCGCCGACGCCCATAAACGCTCGCATTGAATCATTGAAGTCGCCTTACTTCCGGGAATCCTTCAGCCACCAACGGTGCGTCATACCAGCCAGTGGCTGGTATGAATGGGTCAAGACCAGCGAAGGGAAGCAACCGTACTACATCACCTGCCCGGACCTGGATCGCTACGAAGCTCTATTGTTTGCCGGCATCTACACCCCAACGGGAAGTGGAACGACTGTTCGAGCGGCGATCATCACCGAACCGGCTGCAGATCCAATCAAGCACATTCACGACAGGCAGCCCGCCCTGATCGATCCACAGAGTCTTGAAAGCTGGCTTGACCCAGGCCTAACTGATATCGGCCAACTGCGAGGGCAAGTGGGAAGGATTGATCCTGGAAGACTGGAATGGTGGCGCGTCTCTACTCGAGTGAACCGCGCTGACGCCCCAAACGATTCATCGCTGATCGAGCCACTGGAAAGCGAAGAAACCTAAATTATCGGAAACCAACTCCTAACTGGGGCAGGAGACCAGTTTTCCGTATACTCACAGAGAATTTACCGCAGAGGACACGCCTCGATGCTGATACTGTCGCGCCCTGAAGATGGCCGCATACAAATTGGCGACGATATCGCTATCACCGTCCTTCGAATCCGGGGGAATCAAGTGCAGCTTGGGCTGGATGCTCCCGCCTCAGTCAACATAGCGCGGGAGGAAGCAATAGTAGAGCCTCCGCCTCATGATCTGGAGAGGAGGAAATGAAAGGGTATGTGCTGGCTACGACAGAGGACCAGGTTCGCTGGTACATCTACGACCCCGCAAACCCAAGCCCCGATCATTACCACCTGAGCGACACCCTGGATCTGCGGACGACTCCGGTCAACCCTTCCAAGGAACATGCCAGGGAGCTCGCCAAGCGCCTGCAATTGGGCACGTGGCGATACATCAAGATAGGGTAGTTGCCGCTAGGCTTCCCCGCTCTTTCCGCTTGCCGGCTTCGCGCCCACCTTGCCAGTTGGCTTTTTCTCACCAGCGACGGATACCCGCTTCATAAGGGTCCCCAGCTGCTCTCGCAACTGCTTGGCCTCAGCCTCGGACTGGATAGCCCGCTTTCCTAACTCCTTGCTGTCCTCAACCGCGCTGCGCATCTCCTGTTCAGCCTTTTCAGCCCGCTTCAGCACATCGGCTTCCCGCTCGGCTTGACGGGCAAGCTGAGCCTTCAACTCTGCCCGGGTTTCCGCCAAGTTCTCCCTTTCTGCCTGCAGGCTTTCCACCCGCTCCTGCAGCTTATCAATCTGACCCTGCATTTGTTCACGCTCGCTTCGCAGGTCCGCCTTATCTTGCTTCAATTCCGCGTTCCGTTCCTGCAGCTCCTTCCCGGCTTTCTCGGCAGTTTCCCGCTGCTCCCTTTCGCCGTCTAGCTTCTCCCTGAGCACGGCCAGATCCCTCTCCAGGGCGTTTGCCCGATCCCGCTCGCTCTCCAGTGCCTCTTCAGCCTTATTCGCCCGCGAGCTGGCCTTAATCCCCTCAGCCCGCACATAGCCTAGCTGTTCCTCCAGGTCTTCCACTGTAGCTGCAGCATCGGCTAACTCTGCCTCGGCCTGCTCTTGCGTTTCCCGGGCACTGGCCATCACGTCTGATACACGACGCTCTGCGGTCTGGACGGCCATTGTATTCAACCGAACCACCATCGCGTTGATCTGTTCCGACAGACCTGTGGTGACCTCCTTCAACAGCCCCTCAACCTCTACCGGCAGCTCTTGAACGGGCTCAGACTCGACAACTTCCTGTTGCTGCACATACGACCTCCAGGTTCGGATATGGCGATTAGGATCACCGCCCCCCACCTCCCGGCGCAGGGCATAGCCGGTTACTCGTCTGCCGGCTTCCTGCAGCTTGTGCCCGGCGGAAATCACCTGGTCATCCTCGTACTCTGCAGGCCGGCCAGTGCGGGCGCTCGCCTCGGCTTTCGCTGTTTCGGTCAACTCATTCATTAGAAAACTCCCCAGTTCGTCCATCCATAACATCAGTATAGCACAAATAAAAAGAAAGAAACAAAGAAAGTAATAAAGAAAGAAAATATTTCACCGATCGAATTCTTACCTTCACGTACTGGGAAATAAAGACCGCGAGTGCGGAGAAAACCGACCGCCTTACGGTGGAGAAGATGCTTGGGGTGGTGTTCAAGGAGGGTCGACAACTTTATAGGTCATCGAAGTCTTGTTCCTGTGCTGCCGAAAGAACACGCGGAACCGGGCTTGAGGCACCTCCTCCCGGGAGAGTTCGGGAGCGCAGCGTTTGAACTCGATTATTTATAAATAGAGCAAGGGTGTGCTGTTTCGCCATTACCGAAGCCGAAGGTTCGGTAATTGTCACATATGGAGGGAAGAACGGCGGATCTCTGAATACAAATAAACGATCTCGAAAACAAACGTGGAGAACTCTATGAAAACAAGCGAAGAGAAAGAAATTGGATTGAATCGAACGGGCGTCTATCTGGTCTGGCTCGGCCTGGCCTTTGCTGTCGGGTTTGCTGCTAAAGCCCTCCCGGTCTGGCTGTTCGCATTGCCTGTTGGGGTTACAGTGGCAGGCATACTGATCTGCACCAGGTCTATCTGGTCAGGGAAATAACTTTGATCAAGAGAAATTAGACGCACCCTATAACTATTGCTAATTTTTCTTGCCATCCCGGGACCTGATCACTACTCTTTCGATGCAAACTGCTGCACATTGCATAGTTTCGCATTAACTAACACAGGACCCGATCATGACTTCTAAATCTCGCATGACCGTCAATTTGCCAGTCGACGAATACGCAGAGCTGTCTGCCCTGGCAAAAAAACACCGGATATCCATGGCTTGGCTTGGTCGCCAAGCAATTAGCGAGTTTTTAGAGCGGTATCGCAAGGAGGAATTGCAACTTCCTTTAGCTCTCTCATCCTCAAAGAAGGCTGCTGGCGATGCGTAAGACTAGGAATCATCAAGGTCCTGTTGGTACGTACTACGAATTTTTCGCGGGCGGTGGTATGGCGAGAGCCGGCCTAGGCGATTCCTGGTCTTGCTTATTTGCTAATGATTTTGATCATAAAAAAGCAAAGTCGTATGCAGAGAACTGGGGCGGGAATCATCTAAAAGTTGGAGACGTCCGCGCTGTAAGCACTAATGATTTGCCGCCAGGCGTTGACCTGGCGTGGGCCTCCTTTCCTTGTCAGGACCTTTCCCTGGCCGGGGGCGGTGCGGGCCTAAAAGGCGATCGATCTGGAACTTTCTGGCCATTTTGGCAGTTGATGACTGACCTTGGTCGGGAGAATCGACAGCCCAATGTGATCGCCTTAGAGAATGTTTGCGGCACCCTTACCTCCCACGGCGGCAAAGACTTCACAGCGATTTGCGAGGCTTTCCAAGCTTCTGGTTACCGTTTTGGTGCTGTTGTTATGGATGCTGCTCTGTTTGTTCCACATTCACGCCCTCGCCTATTTGTTATTGGCGTCCATCAGAGCGTTGATATTGGCAACGGGTTGACCACAAAGGCCCCCTCAGACACCTGGCATACAAAGTCTGTTCGTACAGCTCACAAGCGACTGTCGACTGAGTTACAAGCAGATTGGATTTGGTGGAATATCCCAGAGCCGCCCGCAAGAGAGAATCGGTTTGCCGATCTAATTGAGGACAAACCGGCCAGCGTGGATTGGCACTCCAAGGCTGAAACTCTCCGACTGTTATCCATGATGTCGAAGGTGAACCTAGATAAGGTCGAGACTGCCAAGAAAGCAGGTCGTCGCATGGTCGGAACGATTTATAAACGTACCCGGCTAGATGCTGACGGTAATAAAGTGCAGCGAGCAGAGGTTCGGTTTGATGATGTTGCTGGTTGTTTGCGGACCCCAGCAGGGGGCTCCAGCCGTCAACTTATCCTGGTCGTAGATGGCAAGGAGGTAAACTCTCGACTTATCTCAACTCGTGAAACCGCGAGATTGATGGGGCTTCCTGACGATTATGCGCTGCCAGAAAAGTACAATGAAGCTTATCATCTAACTGGTGATGGGGTTGTTGTGCCGGTAGTTCGCCATTTAGCACAACATATATTAGAGCCCTTGGTAACGCAGAGACAGCGACTAAATAGGAGTGCTGCGTGAGCATAATACCTTGCAACCAAAATAAAGAACTTCGAAAAAAAATAATGGAATATTCGGAAGCACTAAAAGTCGAAGCCCACAGAATTGGCGATCACGGGCTATCTGATTCGGAGTTTTATGATTCAGGTTTATTTCGCGGTGCCATAGAACGCGTTCGAGGACAGTTTTCGGCCACGATGCGGGAAAAGCGAGACTTTGTAAGTCGTGTGCTGAACCACATGCAGGACGAGGGATATATTCAAGAGTGGGTCTCTGCAGGCGAGGCCAACCGTCATGACTATTCCGTCACGCTCAATAGTGGCCGTATGGCAATCATTGAGCTAAAGGGATGTCTCGATGGCAACAACACCAATATTTTTGAGCGCCCGCCCCATGCTCAGGAATTTATTGTCTGGAGCGTTTGCACTAATCCTGGTGCAGATCCTCGACATAACGCTTGGTCGGGAATTCATACGCGGTTGAGCGCGGAAATCATTTCCAGAAGTCAGCAGGTGGATGGTGTAGTGGTGTGGGATATGGTTTGCGGGACCATTGGACGCCCATGCCCCAAGGTTGCGAACGAAAGTGGTCGACTAACAGTCGTCGGTCCTCACAAACTACCACCGCCTTGTATTTACTTGTTTCCGGCTACGATCCCAAGCCCGCGAAACAATCCTCATCCGCCCTCTCAGGAAATAGTAGATGTTGAGATACTGAAAGCATTCCATGAATGTTTTCAGGGGCGTGACGAAGAACTTAATAAGGTAACGTTCGCAGTGTCTCATAGAGGTGCAGACACCATGAGGATGACTCGAGTTAAGCGCAATGGTGTGTTTGTGAAAGAGTCAGAGGCGACAGCGATCAGAAGATCTTAGTGGATCAGTATCACGAAACGGGCTGGTGCTCTGCATAAATCCATACTGCCTAGTTAGAACGGGCTCTCGAATCATTATCTACTATCTTTTCGAGCAGCCCTCCCCTCCAACCACCCGAAACCCTTCGCTATCACCCTCCATTTTAAGCTCCTACCGCCCTACGTGCTTGGCTTTAATTCTGGTCAACTGTTGTCAAAACCCGTTATTTTGACAACGAATGCTGCCGCCCCGATTAACCGGCGCTTTCACCGCAACCAGGTCAGCTGGTCCCGTCGATTCTTGCCACCCAGACCGTTGTCGTTTACTTTGTTAAATGACAACACTCGCCAACACTTGGCGGGGAATTTTTCCATAAAAGAAGGAAACCAGAATGCTTGAAAAACAAGGCTTCGTGGGTCTGTCCACCGGCGGTAACGGTGTTTTGTATGTTCGCCCAAGTGCCATTATGGCCATTCAGGAAAGAGAGGAAAAACACTCACGGCCAGAGCTCAAGAGTGGGGTGTTCCTGCAGGGTATTCCTGCACCCTTCCTGGTGCAGGACAATACCACCACCATAGCCCAGGCCATCGAGGCGGTCGAAAACAAGAAGGGGCAAGGGGCATGACGGATTTCCAGACAGTCACCGTGCCAACCCTGGACGAGCAAGATCAGCGCCGAGAGGTGACCATCGTCGCAAGCCAGATCGTGGCCTTCGAAGCCATTGATGTGGCTCAATGCACCATCGCCTGCACCGGCGGCCACCTCTACCGACTGCCCATGGCCCGCGCTAAGGCTGTGGCTGAGATCAGCAAGCAACTCGACCGGCAGAACCGGTGACGTCTCCGTTCGTGGCCGCTCTACCTACCACTGTAACCAATCCGCATCCGGCAGAACTCTTTGCCGGCCGGATCGAGATAAACTGGCCATACCTGGTGGAACGCAGGCCGCTGACCCTACAACTCCACCCAGAGCTGCCGCCGTACCTGCTACTCCCGGAAGCTCACCAGCTGCTCGATGCCGCGACCCATCCCCGGGACCACCTGCTGGCGTCACTACTCTGGCACACCGGCGCCCGGATCTCTGAAGCGTTGGCCATCACCCCGGAACACCTGGTGCTCCAGGATCAGTGGTCGTCAGGGGTGCTGCTGGACCAGCTCAAGAAGCGGGGCCGGCCGCGCCAGCCAAAACGCCAGGCGTTACGCAAGCGGTGGGTACCCATCACCGACGAACGTTTTGTCCTGGAGCTACAGCGGTACATCGAGGGCCAGGGTATTCGGACCGGTGAGCGGCTATTTCCCTTCACGCGGCAATGGGGGTACAAACGCATTACGCAGCTGGCGTCCAGGATCAGCTTGCCCATTGAGGTCCACCCACATACCCTGCGCCACTCGTTTGCCTGCAATGCGGTACTCCATGGCCAACCACTCACCGTCATACGCGACTGGCTGGGCCACGCTGATATTCAGCAAACCGAAATCTACACCCGTGTCCTGGCAACGGAAACCAATCACCTGATGCGATACATGGCGTTCTGATGGCCTTCAACAACGAAAAGACGACCTGGACAGATCCGGACACCCGCACTGCCTACGAGCTGACGGCCTTCAAGTCCTTCGTAACCACCTATGAAATCAGGCCCGACAAGCAAGCGGAACCGTTCTCTGTAAGCGTGCGGGTAAAGTTTTCGAACCACTGCTACTCCCGAGAAAGGAAGGAAGAACCGGCGAACCAGGTCATTGATACGCAGAACAGGAAGGACGGCACTACGGAACAGCGGGTGTTTTGTTCTGATCGTTGGGGGTTTTGTCAGGACCTTCCTGGCATCATCGAAAACCTTGGGTTGCAGAAGTGCCTCGTAGGCGGTGGAAGGGATATCATCTATCGTCAGGAACAGCGCAGCCACGTTACCGCTCACGATGGATGGTATATCTGCATGCGCCTGGACTACCGAGCAAACAGGAACCCTGCTTTTGAGCTGTGGGTGAGAAGCGTTCACTGGCGGCGCAATCGACCGGTAGACATCCGGAATCACGGAGGGCAGAAGTTCCGTGTGCTCCTGTCACGATTCGCCGGAGAGAGGGGGGTACTTCGGCCTTAATCGGGGCCAGAAAAGCGAAAACCCCGCGAGAGCGAGGTTTTGGCTGTATAAGTATCACTGCCGGGCATCTTGGTTATATCCACCTATGGTGGAAGCCAGGCCTAGTACCTGGCGCCATGGAAGCTACCCTTTTTCCAAAGGGACACCGACTATCGCTATCCACGTGCTTAGTATAAGAGTTCCATGCGTCACACGCAAGAACAGGTTCCTGAACGGCTATTCACTACACTTTCCGAGTGGCAGAAGCGCCAGATCAACCCGCCTGGCCCTGCCGCGCCTTCTTCCCTATTGCCCGCCAAGCATGGGACTGGTGTTTATAGGAGTGATGGAGGTTGATACTCCCCCCCTCGGGACCCCGCCTGGCGTAGCCAGGAAGGCGGGGATCATTTTAATAGGCCAAGCGTAGCTTGGGGCGGAGGCCGTTAGGCCGGAGGGTAGGCGCGTTTTGTGTCGTTGAACCGGAAATTTGCTTCATGGCGTTTTAAAGACTTTTTTCATGTTTTTATTCTTGTTTTTAAAACTTGTTTTTAGGCTCGGAAAAGCTAGAAAAAACATATAGGTAGCGCGTACATAACCTACAGTTCCCGAGTAAGCCCCTACAGATTCCGAGTTTAGCCCTACAGATTCCGAGTTTCATCACTACAGATTCCGAGCTTTAAACCTACACTTTCCGATCACTTATCCACATCCCCTACACTTTCCGATCAGCACCAATTGGGGCTTTGAAGGATGGCCATGGTGTACGTCTTTCCGGGTTTTGAGCGTTCGGGATTTCTTATCCCTACAAATTCCGAGTAACCCCTACACCTTTTCTAAATGTAGTGATAGTCTATGGCCTACAATGAAGATGGAGTGTAGGGATGCAACAATCTTTAAGGATCGCGAAATCGAACGCCCTGGTAGAGGCGGCTTACAAACTCACCCTCAACGAACAGCGGCTGCTGCTCGCCGTGATTGCCCGGATCGATTCAAGACGAACGATGCGGCACTTCACGTTCTCAATCACGGCGCATGAGTTTGCCCAGATGTTTGATGTCGAACTGCACACGGCCTACGAGGCCCTGCAGGACGCCTCAACGTCTTTGTTTGAGCGAGACATCCGAACCTTCGATGGCCGCACTAAAGCGCGTTTCAGATGGGTTGAGAGGATCGCCTATGTCGATGGAGAGTCACGGGTGGAGCTCACGTTTACTCTTCATGTAGCACCTTACCTGTCCCTGCTGCATAAAAATTTCACCGCCTACGGTTTCCACCAGGTGTCACAGCTCAAATCCAGCTACTCCATCCGCCTTTTCGAGATGCTTATCCAGTACCGCAAGACTGGTTGGGTTCAGATAACCCTGGACAAATTCCGTGAGCGACTGATGCTGGAATCCAGCTACAAACGCTATGACAACCTGAAAGCCAGGGTGATCAAGCCGGCCGTGAAAGAGCTGGAAGAAAAGTCTAGCCTGATCATCCAGTGGGAACCCATCAGAAACGGCCGAAAGATCGAAGCGCTCCGCTTTACCTTTAGAGAGGATGAACAACGGGATCTGTTCAAGGATGAGTTAGAGGATGAGGTCGTCGCAGAGGTGGATTGATTCGGCCTGGCGATGAAAACGCCAGGCCAGCGCGGTTATTTATCTTCTTTGCGCTTCCCAACTACCATGGCGCCTTTGGTGATCGAAAAGCCGACCTCGCCCAGGAACACCTGATTGCCGTTATGGTTTCTGCCATGAGTATTATCCGATGCGGCCATGTTGGGGTCAGCTCACGAAACGGAAAAAATGGTGTCGATATCATTGATGCCAAAGGCTTAGCGTACAATTTTTTCCGTTTCGTGAACTGACCCCTCATTGGTTGATCCTTTCAGTTAGTAGTCAAAGAAAACAGTCACGGTTTTGACTGTCGTAAAGCCCGCCCTGTCGGTGACGGAGACACCAATCTCGTGATTGGCGTTGTTGCTGTAGTTGCTCACGTTTAGCTCAGTGCTCACAAGGTTGTCAGCTGACGACTGAGAGTATTGCGCTCCGTCCACCAAGAACACTACAGCAGCCTCTACCTGGTCAGGATTCTCGATGAGCGCTACGATATCGAAGTCACGGGTTATGACATCCCCCTCCCATGGATTCGACAGCGTGACTTCCGGCGGGGTGTTGTCAAAGAACAGCTCTTTGCTTAGCGTCGTGGTGTTTCCGGCCCCATCCATCACTTCCAAAGCCACCAGATAAGACCCATCGTCGTAGGTGCGTGTATCAATGTCCGCAGAGAAGGGGCTGGAGCCGACCTGTCTTATCTGCTCGCCGTCAACGTAGAGTCGAACCTCTGCAATCCCGGTGTTATCACCGAACTGCCCTGATACAGTTTGAACACCCGTCGCAACCTCCATGTTTTCGAGATTCCATTCAGCGCTGGGGGCCACGTTGTCCAAATCAAACGTTACCGTTTCTGCTGTGGTTCCGCCGCCCTGGCTGATCACCGTAATGTCCAGGGCATAGGGTTTCCCCTGGTCGGCAAACTGGGATGTGTCAATAGCCACGGATGGCGAGGACAGGGACGCAGGGAAATAGGAGGTGCCGTTGACATCGAATCGGACTGACTGCACGCCGGCAGGGTCAGTAACGTCTGCGGAGAACGTGAAATTCCCGCCAATCGTCTGGCCATCGGCGGGTTGAATGTTGCTTATCTCCGTGCCGGCATTCGCGACTATCAGATTGAGGGTTTCGCCGGCCTTTTCGCCGGTGGCATCAGTACACTCCATCGTGAACGAGTGCGCTCCATCGGACAGCAGCTCTGTTTCAATCGAGTAGCCAGGGGTCAAGTCGGCCTGGGTGGTTTCATAAAAGCCACCATCGATCAGGAGATCACAACCCGACAGGCTTTCCTGTGAGACGACAGCATGTGAGAGGGTGACATTTCCGGCAACAAGCTCGCCCTCAGCATGACTCATGTTGAACAGAACCGGAGACGCCAGATCCAGGGGGATAACATCGTCCTGGGAGAATTCACGAAGCTCGGAATCGTTGATTGTCCTGGCGTAGGCCTCCCGCTCCGAGAAGGAAAGCAGCGAATCAGGCCCCTCCGCCGCAATGATATTAAGCGCCAAGGCATGACGGTAGAGATCAGCCCCCATGGCCACTGAACCCAGAAACAGCTCACCACTGGAATCTCGCCCATCCAGTCGACCATTCAGGATGTCCGCATAAGCCTTGGCTGTAAACTCGACAGTGGTACCAGGGGAGCCACCGTTAACCGTGGCCACCCAATCCGAGATCGACGACAAGCCAACCAACATTGAATGAAAGCGCGAGGAATCGTTGAGAACCGCGGCTTTCGACGGGCTGGAGTCCAGGATGTTGAAGCCCACAAAACTCGAAACCTGTGAGTTACCATACGCCACCGCGTCATCAGAGGGGACGCTAAGGCTGCGCCTGTAGCGGTATAACCCTTCCGCCAATGTGGATAGTGGCGATACATTGACAGTACTGGACTCCCCGTCCTCCAACCAGGTGATCGCTTTCAGCGCCAAGGAACCTTCAAGGGATACCGTTTCTCTACCAACAAGTTCCTGGTAAGCGCCACCAGAGACTTCTATAAGCACAGCGCCGTCCAGATCGTTTGGAAGCTCAACAGACCAACGACCGGAATTGCTCGTGGTTGTTTCTGCCAGAACAGTCTTCCCCGCACCGTCCAGGGTCGAGACTGTTACAGCGCCCCGTTCAAGCGGCCCACTGGCAAACACCGAGCCACTGACGACTCTTTGGTCTGAGTCGCTACCGCCGTCACTGCCCCCGCACCCTTGCAACAGGCTCAGGACCATCAGGCCTAGTGGGAAAATCCGTTTAATCATGATTAAGCTCCTTTATAAAGCTGTGGAGCCCATCGGCTCCACAGTATTATCGATCACTCATCTGTGCGGTTATGGCATGTTTTGCCAGTCCTCGTCAGGATCTGGCGGGTTGAGCTTCACATTTACCGTCGCTGATGTTGTTGCCCGAAACCCGGCTTTATCAGTAACGATCAGTGTCAAGGTGTAGGGGCCAGTTGACATAAAGCCCGTACCATTATCAAACCGGCCAACCCGAAAGCTGCTACTGAACTCAACATCCGACTCAGGCCGTAGAGTTCGTAACACCTTTCCTGCCATCTTCGCCTCAACCTTCTCAATACCAACGGCATCCGAAGCGATCCCTCTAAAACGGACAATATCTTCGTAGTAATCGCCACTAGAGGCGGACAGGATCGAGATGCTTGGAGTCGTATTATCAAACAGAGGCTTTGTCGAAACTTCGGTTACATTGCCAGCTTTATCAATTGCCCGGAGCAAAATGTCTTTATCCCCTTCCGAATAATCCCGGCTATCGATGACCTCAGAAATGGTTCCGTCAGCATAGGTATTGACCAAATTTCCATCGATAAAAAGCTCCGTTTTCTCCAGCCCGATGTTGTCTGATACCGTTGCCTCAAGTGGGAATTCCTTCACCCACACATCCTGGTTCGCACCATTCCAGGAGATCTCTGGAGCAGTGTTATCCGCCGTGAAGTTCACCGTCGATTCCGTTTGAGTACCTACCGAATTGGTGACTGCAACGATCAGCTCATGCTCACCTTCCAGCATATTCGAAACATTGAACTCCTTAGACGGGGTTCCGTTCGCAGTTAGCGGATAGATTGCTCCATCCAGGATAAAGCTCACCGCATCGATGCCGATGGGATCTGCAACACTGGCCGAGAACGTCTGCGGCCCGGTAAGAATGCTTTGGTCTTCCGGGTAGATCTCTGAAATCGTTGTGCCGGCGTTTGAAACCAGCAGAGTCAATTCTTCTGTGGTCTCCCCACCCGTGATGTTCTTGGTGTACAGCTCAAAGCTATGAGCACCATCGTTAAGCGGTGCCGTATCAACGGTGAATGTCGGCTCCGATTCGGCGCCCCGGAATTCGTGCAATGTGCCGTCGATAAACAACGTGACTTCCTCCAGGCCAACGGTATCAGTCACGTTCGCAGAGATCTCTACAACGCCTGCGATAACGTCGTTATTGGAATGACTCAAATTGCTGATGGTTGGGGAAAGTGCTTCAAGCGGTCGAATCTCCGCCCCTGCGAACAGCGCCGAATTGGACTGGTTGTACTGCTGGGCCATCGGGAGAATGTCTTTAGGCGTCAGCCCCGAGACATTCACATCTGAATTGGCCATGACCAGCATGTTCCGCGCTATGTCGCTGCGATAGACGTCCGGCGTCAAGCGAACCGTTCCCTGTGCGATAATCCGGCTCTGATCCTTTCCATCCAGCTGACCGTCCGAGGCTATGTCCTGGTATGCCGCTGCAGCAAACTTTATGGAGTTGTATGTTTCGTGAATGTCATTTTCATCACCATTCTGCAAAGAGATCCACTTAGTAAGCTGAGATATTGATGCGGTCGCAAAACCGTATAGATGCTGATCCGTCACAACAGGCGTCGCGCTGGATTTTTTATTGATCTCTAAAGGGGTGACCCCACGAATATCAATGCCGATCATATCGCTGACCGTATCATTGGCCCTAGCGATGGCTTCATTGACCGAAACGCCTGTACCAGCCATGTGTTTGGCCAGCCCAGTTGCGATCGTCGTGTAGAAAGTCAGTGATGTGCTGATCGACTCGCCCTGCTTGTAATTCTTCAGGGCGTATAGAAAGTCTCCACCTCGGAGAGCAATGCTTTTACCACTCGCCTCTTCCTGGTACCGGCCACCAGTCACCTCAATCAGAACTGGCTGACTGGGAATTTGATCCAAGCTCACCGAATATTCGCCAGCATCATCGGTGGTGCCCTGCCCCAACAGCTTCCCTTTGCTGCCGTTCCAGGCATACACCTTCACATCACCATTCAGGATCAACCCATCAAAGGCCGTCCCTGATACCGATCCACTCGGCCTTGCCTCCGGTACGCCACTGCTACCGCCGTCACTGCCCCCGCAACCTGCGAGCAGCACTGGAATTGAAATTGCCAAAGCGCTAAGAAACTTGTTCATCCTTTTCTCCCTTTATCCTATCTTCGTCTTCTTTTAAAAGCGGTACCGAACCCCAGCCGCAACTCCATAGCCCTCAAGACCATCCGAAAACGGACGCTCATAGCGGGCTTCCGCAGCCAACACCCAGTCCCTGGTTAGATCCCAATCCAGTCCCAGCATGGCAACAGCGCTCATGGTGGTTTCTTCACGATCATCGAAACGCTCAACTAGAAACCCTTCCGAATCAGTCCTGAAACGGTCAGAGGTCTCTATCATTGAGGAAACGATTCCGCCACCAACCCACGGCTTGAAGTGACGGGACAGGCGGAATTGGTGCTGTAAGGCGGTGGTGAGCTGGTATCCTTCAACAGTCACCCCAATACCTCCATCCCCAGCCGCTACGTCGAAATCGACGTATCTCAGGTCTGTCACAATCCGGTTAATGCGGTTGATCTCGAAGGTCGCGGAGAAGGTTATCGGATAGAACACCGTTTCCCTGGATGTATCCCCTTCAGGCTCCTGAGATCGGTAGTTCATTAGTGCGGGCATAACCCCCGCAGTCGTGTCCACGTCCCAAATGTCGGCCTGTGCAGGAACTGCCAGGCCACCGATGGCCAAAAACAGGCCCGCTCTCGTTATCCGTTTCATCACTGCTCCTTTTGCTCTTCCAGATAATCCTTGTAGGCTTCCAGCTCCATTCGCTCGACACCTTCAGCAACGGACTCCGGGAGGGTTAGGGTAATCACCCGCCACCCCTCCGGAATCGCCAGCTTTTTTATCTTGCTGACGGCTTTATTCAGCGTGGTTCTGGACATTCCAGCCGATGAGGCCACCTGGCTTACAGGCTCCCCATCCACAAGCACCCGGCGTACGAGCTCAATATTTCGCGGACTCATGCGCGAGGCCTGTGAAGCCGCAAGCTCAAAATGAGCGCCTGAAAGACGCACCTGGTCAATGACTGTGCCAACCAACTGGCGGATCAGTCTGCGAATGGTTTCTCCAGATACGTTTTCTGCCGCCGCCACGTCACTAACCGATAGTCCATCGACTAGAACGCGGCGGGCGCGGCTTCGCTGTTGGGGGTCTAAGCCATGTTGATCTGCAAGCAGATCAAACTTGGCAGGAGGGATTTTTTTAGCCAATTCCAGAAGTTCCATGTCCATTGAAAACTGCTCCATGTTATCACGCCGATAAGGTGCCGATGAGCCTTGCCCATCATTCGGAATGATACACACACCACTACACACAATGCAAACAACGCCGTTAGAACGTGTTTTCGATCTGCACTGTTGCTTTTTGCGGGCTGGCCACGACCACGTAGGCGGGGCGTCCCTGTGTAGCTGCGTCAGTCTTTTCCTTCTCCTGGAGAAGCTGGCCCAAGGTTGCTTCAGCTGCCTCGCCACCTGCTCCGGCGGTCGGCGCTGCGTTCAGCAACTCCCGGCTCAGAGTATTCACACCCTCAGCGCCGGCCCGAGCCAGCGCTTTTCCATCGCTGACTACTCGAGCAGAAAGACCGGGCTCCAGTTGGCGGTCAAACACAACACCCTGGACATTGAATTCCTCACCCTCCGGGGTAACCCCGCGAGACACAGACAGGAATAACCGCTCGGAACCGAGTACGGCGGAGGACCGGCTAAACAATGTCGAGCCCACAGGAAGATCCTCTTTCCTACCTCTAATGGTTTTATCAACCGTTAACGCAATCAGGCCCGGCTGGATATTTGAGGCGCTTCGATCCAGAGAGACGGGGATGGTGGTGCCCACTGAAATTCCAAAGACAATCTGGCGCTTATCGCTCCGCTCATCCCTGGCGTTGTTTCGTTGCCCCCTTCCGTTCGAGTTCTTCAGCGAGGGAGAGACGTAGTAATAGGCGTTCGATGCCTGGGAGCTGGCACCAGGTGAGTTACTTCTATTTTGGTTCTGCTGCGACACTGAGGGTGCCTTGGTATCGGGCTCGGAATCCTCGGCTACCGTCCTGTCAGAAGATGGCTCCGCCTCTCCAGACACCTCATCAGGAACCCCCTCACCCTTATTCGAGTCGGAATGGCTGGAACCCTGACCCTCTGGTTCCGGGCGGTCCGGACCTCCCCCGCGTTTGGCAGCACGATCCATCGCCTGCAGGTAAGGGTCCGACGCTTCGCCTTCTGCTTCTTCAGAAGGAATCAAGGTATGGAGCTGGTCGTGACCAACCAGCTTTTTGCTGTAGTCCAGGCGATCCTGGCCCGCGCCAATGGCTCGCTGGTAATCCCGATAGCTCAGCTCTTCGTTCGCGTGTGTGATGCCGGCGATAAAGCCGAGAAGCAGGACACTGATTTTGCCAATGTTCACCACGTCACCTCCACTGTGCCCCGATCGGTCGTCAGTTCCATAAACCCGTTGGTCGTGGGGATGTTCTCAGTTGTCGACCAGGTAACCTTACCCACGGAATCCACAGCCAGTTTTGGGGAAACCTCAGCGTGACCATCAAGCACAATCCGCTGCTCTTTATCGTTGATTCTTCCAACCTTAATATCTTCGATATAGAGCGGGCTTACCTCGCTGTCGTTGCTGACTTCAGCCAGCAGGAGAGAAAACGTACCCCATCCCTGCATTTCCTCAACATACAGCTCGACTTCATCCCCGTTGGAGAGCTCAAGAACACGGTATTCGTGGATGCCGCTATCACTGGAACCACCTCTGCTTAACGCACCTACAAGCTCCAAAGCCTTCTTCTCGGCCATCTTCTCCAGGTCGTCGAACTTCTGCTCATACTCGGCGTCAAGCGCTGCCAGATGCTCCTTACGCTCACCCTCCCGGATGGCCTTTAGCTGCTCATCAGTAAACTCAAAGACGATATTGGTGCAGTGGTTCCGGATATCCGGGTCAGCCTTCAGTGTGATCGAAAAAATATGATCACCAGTGGAAATGGTGAAATCCGTCAGTTCACCCCATTGGCTATCGAACGACTGAAAGTAGATAGGCACCACCCTCGTTCCCTTAGCCTTCTTGAAATCCCACACCAGATCCGAACTCATGGAGTAGGCGGTGTTATCATCCGAAAGCTCAAACGGGAAGATCAGGTTCACCCCTCTGAACGGCGTCATTGGCACAACCAATCGGGTGATGTCGTCCACCTTAACCGGGCGTTCACAGGGCATGACAACGCTATCCGGCAGCACCGAGGTGTTAGCAGATAGACCTTGAGACAAAAGCAATCCCGTTAAGAATGCGGTTGCAGTAAACAGCTTCTTTTTCATGATTTTGGTCCTTCAATGAAGGGGTTTTCCGCCACGTCGGTCCAGGAGACCACGCCAACCCCGTCCGTGTTTTCGTCCGATTTCTCAGTTGGTATCAATTCCAGAACAATGTTCAGGGGGTACGCATCCTTGTTGTTCAGAACCAATCGGGCTTGGTACTCAACGGTATGAACGCCACCGCGTACCTGTTGCACTTCAGCCTTCGCATTTTTCCAATCAACACGGGAGGCGATAGATTTGTTGCGGACCTCCCGTACCAGATCCGTCCTTGTGAGGTAATCCAACCGCTTCTCTCGTAACTCTGGAGTGGCCATCATTGAGATAGCCTTGAACTGATCGTGCTCGACGGTCGCGGCATTCAGGCTGTAGAACGCATCAATGAACCGCTTCCCCCCATTAACCATCTCAGATTCTGACCGATAGATCCCCTCAGACACTTGCGTCGCCTTGGCTTCCAGCCGCATTGCCAGCGCTAGGAGCGCAATGATGGAAAGGAACAGAACGAAGATCAGCCCGTAAAGCCCCCACTCTTTGTACTTCTGGTGGCGCGCGAATTTACCAGGGGCAGCACGCCTGACGTCCATGGCGTCGTCCATTACCTCTCTCCCCTATTGCCGTTGTCGGGATCGTCTGAAGTAGAGCCTCCGGAGCTCGTCAGGTCATTACTCTCACTCGATTGGCCGCCAGATTCTTCAGGTGACCCAGCTGTGCCACTCTCAGAACCTACAGACGGGCCTCCGCTGTCGGTACTAGCCGTCTGGTCAAACCTACCTGTATCGGATGGTCCGGGGCCTGAGTCCATTTGTGGTTCAGAAGCGCTTGAAGGCGAACTTGCTCTCCCCATCCCGCCCGGCGAGGTCCCGGTGTCGCCCGTCGGGCCGCCACTGCCTGGATCTTCCGGAATCGAGCTAGATAGATCGTTGCTGCCACCTCCACCAAACAGCTGCCCCATCGGCGCGTGGAGCGCATTACTCATTCCCTGCGCCATCGCGTCACGGCCTCGGGTCCCCTCCCCCGTAGGCATCACACCCCTCATTTCATTCATGACTGTATTGTCGGCGAGCATCTTAACGACCTGGTTAGCCACAATACCCCCGAGCACGGCCGGGCCTGCACCAAGCGCGCCCACCATTGAGTCATTCCTGGCAAGGTAGAGGGCGAGAAACGGAGCGATGATCTTGATCAGCACAACCAGAGACATCATGACGCAAGAGAACAGATACCAGAGTGTCATGGCCGTGGTACCAAGATCGCTTCCGGAATAGTAGGTGGTCAGATACTCCACGGCGCCAAGGCTCATCAACCAAACGAAGAAGAGAAGCAGGGGTTCGAGAATCACCCATATCCCGAAGGTCAGCACGGTTTTCGTGAAACCTGGCATGAGGTTGAATTCATTTTTCATAACCCGCGTCGTGATAGCGACGAAACCCCAGCCATACGTCAGGGCAATGCCAATCGCAAACATCACATCGATGAGCCGACTAAGAGAGATGTACGCAACGCTGAGAAACTGGTAGATCGCCCACACCAGTCCAGCACTAAAGATATTGGTCACGTCAGCGACACCTTCGAGCACCCGCTGAAACCAGTCTTTCTGAGCCTCCGGATCAGCCATCAAAACCGCCCGAAGGTCCACCATTTCCTGATGGATCAGGCGGGCCGATCCGAAGCCCTCAAAAAGGGTCGAGAGCGCAAAAAGCAGCGCGAACACAAGCAGACCACCACCGCTGTAAGCCAGGAACATTAGCAGCGTCTTGCTGGCATCGCCCATTGCCTCGGCCAGGGCCGCCTTGCCGCTCATGGCATCCGTCGACTCCTGGGCAAGCCTCACCGCACCAAAGACCACTATGAGCCAGGGCACGACGGCCGCCACGCCGGCGATGTAGGTGAAGTGTTCATAGACAGAGTTGGGATTCAAGGTATTAACCAGGAACCCCGTTAAAAAGTTGTTGTCGCCAAACTCTCCCTGTACGGCCATTACTGTGTCCCTCCCAAGAACTGCATAAACTGGTGGTCCCACTCCAGACCATCCATCAAACGCTGGCGCTTCGCGGCTTCTTCCTCCAGACGTTCAGTACGCTCTTCAAGCATGATGGAAGTCATCATGGCCGTTGAGGAAGCGGTTTGTCTGTGGAGGTCCTTGGTCGACTTCGGCGTATCTGATAACGCCCGGCTGCGATAGTAGTCCCGCAGGTAAGCGGTTTGCTCGATCTCGCTGAAGTCCTCCAATGCGGCGTCTTTGCTGGCCTCTTTCAGGGGGTCCGGAGCGTTAGAACGCTTGAATCGCTTGTCCACCTCTGAACTCAGCAAGCTCCATCGCTGCTGCCAGTTGCCGTTGTCCAGATCGTTCAGGTTTGTCATTCCGTCCGACCAGTTCACGAGGGAGCGGAGCTCACCATCCGGGTCAAAGCGCGTTACGAATTCATATTCATGCCGCACGGCCTGCAGGTACTCCCGTGCTTGAAATAGCTCATCGTTCACCGCTTTCACTTCTTCAAGTTCGTCCTTTAGGGTTTCCAACTGCTCCTTCATCTGGGCATAGATTTGGGTAAGCACCTTGGTATCACCGGGTGAGAACGCCTGGCTGGCATTGGCGCTGGTGAGCGCCAGGAATACGAAGAGTCCTTTAGATAAGAGATTCCGTCTCATTCGCCTCTCTCTCCTTTTTGAGCCGGTTGAATAGTTCGATCCTTTCATAGGGATCTTTGGTTGCCTCGAACGCCTTCTCACGCAGGGGCTTGTCCTCGCCGCGTGTATTCATCAGATCCAAAAGGATTCGTGGAAACTTGAGGTAAAGCTTGTGCCAATCTCCCAGCTCCTGGACCAAGGCTTCCCGATACCCTTTGCTATCCATCACATCGGGAGAACCAAAACCTTGCCAGGCACTCACGATGGAGGGTGGCATTTGCAGCACTTCACCAATGGCCGCATGAGCATCGGACCGACTCAGAAGGGTTCGATTCTGGATGCTGGAGAGCGATTCAGGATCTACTGACTGAATTTCTTCCAGGCCCTGGGTAATGCGCGTCAGCCCTACCCAGTCCTTCCGCCCCATGCGGTCAATGGTCAGGGTGATCCAGCGGATCGGGTCACCGGCGTTCTGGAGCAACATCTTGTACTCGTTAAGGACGATCTGTGACCGTGCGCCCCGGCTCATCGCATTGGTGGCCAGCCGAACCACCATGAACGTCATATAGTATTTGAACAGCTCACCGCTGAAGCCCCCGAAATCGATGGCGTTGGCAATCGGGGAGATGGTGAACTGGTCCTGAGCCCTGAAGGCCTTTCCAGTCTCGGTTTCCAGGAACTCGAAAAGCTCCTCTCGCAGCTGGGCACGGGCGCTTTCCTGGGCTTCGGACGAAACGTCAATCGCGCCCAGTGCATCCAGGACAAGAGGCAGAGTGGGGGCCGGCTGCTCGCCCGGGTTGTCATAGAGGTGGCGCACCGCCCGGTTGACACATACCTCTTCGGCCCGTGTATACGGGTTACCAGCCAACCCCTTGAAGATTGGGGCCAGGGTGTCGGACTGGGATCGGATGAAATCGCCGTCGATGGTGCCGTGCCCCCTAGCCGCCAGATCCTTGGCACTCTGGTACTCGTCATACCCAGCCATAGGATTGATGACCTGTTCCTTTGCGCGGCAATAGCTGCCACCAACGGCTTCTACAGCCGCTTGGTAGCTGTTGCCCATCTCGATGATGTCATAGCGGATGCGCGGATAGGTCTCTAAGAACTTCAACCCGAACTGCGTATCCTTCCCGCCCCCGGTTTGCGCAACCACCAGTTCATGCGGCACCTCTACTTTACTGGGGGCGAAGCCAACCAGTTGACCGGAAGAAGTGATCCGCAAGCTCTCCGGGTTCTTTGTATTGCCCTGGGCAAAGGTGGTAACCGGCATCATCGCGGCCAAAGTGTCGCCGTGGTCTTCACGAGCGAAGAACGTGTTGCGACCAAGCCCTGGAAGGCGGATCTCGAAAAGATCGCGCTGCAGATCCTCATTGTCACGAATGAGCCCCTGGTTCTTATGAACGTTTCGCTTGAACCGTGACGCCTGGAACTTGACCTCATCCGGGCTGGTGCCGGAGAAGGTCACGATGTACGCATTGTCTGCCACAGGCAGGTTGTGCCGGATAACATATTCCCGGTAGGTGGCCGATTCCCGAATCTTGGCAATGGCCTTGTCTGCCCCTCGCTTCTTGGAAAGGGTTTCTGATTCGTAATCGGATTGCTTGCGCGCTTCGTCCATTGCCTTATCTACTGGCTTAGGGAGCAAGATCTGACAGGCATGCACGTCCACTGGTGCCTCCAGAAAGCTCAAGGTCCAATCCAGTGGGAGGTCCGGGTAGCTTTGAAGCAATACCGGCAGGTAATAACGGTCGTTCAGAGCAAGGCACCCATCTTCAAGGTCAGGTTTTTGGGTGACCAACTGATCCGCCAAGTTAAAGCGCCACTCAACCGGATGCGGCTCGCTGTAGGGCTGCCGAATGGTTTGAATCCGCGCTTGATAGTCCTCGGATGACATCAGTTGAGCGCCAGGGAAATCTGCTTTAACCGTCTTGAAGACCTCCATAAGACCGGCATACAGGTCCTGAGCTGTACGGTTCCGCCGCCTCATTTGAGGGCCTATCCACCCCATCAGGCCGGCCTTCCTTGGTGCCGCAAGGCAAAGTACCGTAAAAACCCGGTTGGTCCTGGCGAGCGGTCGATAAGTTTGAACCAGTTGCTCCCGTACATCCTGAACGATCGGCGGAATGGCGAGGGATCGGTGCATCTGCTGGCACTCCCGCAAGTAGGCGTCCGCCAAGCTGCTGTCGCGCTCCCGCACCAAGTGGTTCTCCACCGACAGCCCCAGCTCATCACTGAGGGTTCGCAACAAGGCCACCCGCCGCCTGTGTTCGTTCTGGCGCTCGTCAGAACTCCAGTGGCGATCCTGAACACCGGCCCATTCAATGGCAACCGAGACGCACGGCCCCTGGTGGATCAAGCCATGATCACCAATGCGGGTTTGCCAGGTGAACCCATCAACATAGGTTTTCTGGTTCTTGCCGCCCCAGCTCGGCAGCTTTTTACGTTCCTTTCCCCGTTCCATAGATTTCCTTATCAACCAGTAGTCATACCAACGGAGCACATCAGCGATGAAGAACAGCGTCCCCCCTGCCGCAATAGCAAAAACGATCTTCACCGGCACAATAGGCATCAGCACCGCCATGACAGCGAAGACGATAACCCCAGGGGCAGCGAAGAAAACCGGCTCGGGCAACCCCGCCACACGCTTTGGCTCAATGCGTTTGTTGAACGCCGAAATCATTAGAACAGCCCGCCAATGAATCCGAAGATGATATGAACGATGCCCGAAACCAGCAGGACAATAATGGCACCTTTAATAGCTGCTAGTCCCTGCTGGGTCTTACCGATGATCGGAAGACACAGGAGCAGGCCAATCACCAACGTCACAATTCCGCAGGCATAGACGAAGTAAAGAATGAACTCCACGATCTGGGTCACTGACCCATCCAGTTGGGATGTATCTCCCCCACCTTCCATCAACGACGGCTTGTCCACCTGGAGCGCTACCGCTGTCTTGGCCTGGAACAGCGCCCACATTGCCGCGATAGTGCATGCAACATATTTGATAAATCGAAAAAAACGCATTCCGTACATAGTCCTTCTCCTTTTTAGTACATACAATACTACACACAACGCAATGCTGCATGCAATCAGATTAGCTGCCGGATGCCTATCCGGTTTTTGCGCACCTCTCGTTTCGCTTCCTTCTCCTTTCGTACCTCGCTTTCAAACTCTTTCCTGGTCAACGCCTCGGTGTTGTCACCAGAGCGTGTCCGGAGCGCCGCCTTAACCTTGCCGGGATCATCGACATATACCTTCAGGTCGTGGGAGGCACGGGTGGCCGCCACCATGAAACTTCGTTGGTTCGTCGTGTTGCGGCGCCAGGACTCCATCACCATCAGCACATCCCTGTCGGTCTTTCCCTGGACGCCGTAGGCAGTCCGGGCGTAGTCGTGTTCAAAATGTCGATGCTTTAGATCACTCAATGGCAGGCGGTAATCCTTGCCTTCGGAATCCTCCAGCCACACCTGGTCTTTTGTTCCCTGGACCACGGTCATCTCCATGTTCCGCTTAAGCCCTTCTCGATTGCTGTTATCCAGCCAGCGCAACCGATCTCCCTTGGCCAGGTTCATTGACTCTTCAATGAACACCTGCAGGCCGCCGGGGCGGTCTGCCCCAACCCGGCTCGGATCTATACAGACGATGCGGCCATCCTCCTGAGCCCGCAGCGCGATGACATTGGTTTGGTTGTTGTTGCCGACAACCTGAAAGTATTCATGCCGGTCTATCGCCAGCTTTGCCTTGGGATCACGGTATTCGTAGTTAAACCGAACGAACTGGCCTTTCTGGTACTGCCCGGCCAGCTTTTTCACCTCCTCAGTCAACGGCACATCGACAAAGGACGTTACATTAGCGTCTTCCCCGACGATCACCCCTTGATCCCGCAGGCCAGTGCGGACCAGGGAGTTGATCATTCGGCGCTGCTCATTTGTCGGCGCTACAACCAGTGTGTTTGCCCGGTGCTCGGGGGTCCTGCTCAGATACTCCGCTGACAAGGATTCGAGCGGTTCATATCGACTGCGCGGGTCCCTCGCAGCGACCACCTGTCCAGCACCGTTCATCACGTCAAAGGCTTCGGTATAGCGCTTTGCCATAACGTGATCGACAACACTGCGGAGCTGATCTGTTTTCTGGCGCATCCGCTTATCAATCGTCGCCAGCTCAATGCCGGCATCCTGGAGCTGCTTGAATCCGCGACCGGCCCCTACCGACTCCAACTGCTGGTGATCTCCGACAAACAGCACTCGGGCATCTTTCTCCTGGGCCATCGCCATCAACCGGTTGATCTTGTCAGTGCCGAGCATCGAGGACTCATCAACTATCCAGATCTGCTTACCTGGCCGGCCTCCCTTGTGGGCGGACTTATCAACCAGAAAGCGGTCCACGGTCATACCCGGAACCGACAGGCTTTTGGTCATTTCGTTGACCGCCTGGTAGGAGGGGGCAAACCCCATAACCTGGTAGCCGTTTTTCTCCAGCAGTTGCTTATAAGCCTTCAGCGTTGTTGTCTTGCCAACTCCAGGATCACCCTGGATGGCAAAGAATCGGGACTGGGATTGAACGGATGCCAGAACCGCCGCCTGTTGCTGGTCATTGAGACTGGTTTTCGCCAGGAAAGCGCGCGCCTTCTTACCGCCAACAAGGGCCTTGCCCTTGGCAACCAGGCGTCCCGACTCCAGCAGACTGATCAACCGCTTCTCTGCCTGCTTGGCCGCCGGTGTCGTCCATAGAACATCTTTCCGGTGTTTGTCCCTGTCCGCGTCTGTGTGCCTACGGCCCTCGACCAATCTGGAGGCGCGCTTCAACCGCTGGATCTCGGCATCCAAAGCTGCAAAACTCCCGCGTCCCAACCCTAACCGCATGGTTTCCTTCTTCAGCTCCAACTCTGTAAAGCTCATATCCTTTTCAAGCAGGTGGCTAATCGCCGCCTGAACGTCGCGGCGCACCAGGTTCTTTTCAGCCTCCCCTCCAGACTGGGAGGGCCGGCGCCAGTCAGTAATCGCTGGTGACAGGGCGTGGTCCGCCGCCCTCTCTTTCCAGATCGCTCCCAACTCTTCCCTGGGGATCGCTTCTTTACGCCGGCGCGTAAGTAAGGCCACTTGCTTCGCGTAAGCACTGTCATATGCAAGGCCGCGGTCCTCGAAATAGGATTTGATCTGTCCAGCCCTCTTACTGAATTCCGACATCAGTTCATCAGGGATACCCTCAATTTCGAACAGTCGAGGATCACGATGCCGCTGAAGGGTAAAGCCACGAGCCTGCAGCTCACGGGCCAGCGCCATGCGGTACGCCATACCGCCTTCCATGATGGCGTCACGGTCGATCAGCTTTTCGTTAGCTATCGAGCGCCAACCATGGGGCGTCTTCGTGGCATTTATAAGGACTGCGTGGGTGTGGAGCTGGGGATCAAGTTCGCGGGACACGTCATGGGTAAACGTTGCAAACACGGCATTTTTCGCCGGCAGGCGGACGACTTCACCGTTCACCGACAAACGGGTTTGCAAATAGGACCGTTCGATATGGGCAAGGGCCTCTTTAACGGCTTTATTATGTGCTTCACGCACATCGGTGAGGTCATAGACTTCACTGAGTATGGACACCGACTTGGGGGCGCTAAACGTCAGATCCCAACCGGGGCGGTGCTCGATGCCTTCCTTGGTTCTCCGCCCTAGTTGCTCGCCATCCACCTGGCCATTCAGCAAGGCAGCAAAACGGTCAGGATCAACCTGGCCCGACAGGCCGAGCTCGTCACTACCAAAACCCACCCACTCAGAGTGCTCAATACCCTGATCCTGGGTGTAGTAGTTGTCATGCGAGTAATAGCGCGTGGCATCGCCACTGCTTGTTACAGCACTCACTGTTAACATCCTTGTTGTCCTTCTCCTAGATCAACGGCTCGATTCCATCGAGTGGTGAGTTTGTGGCTTCTGCGGTTTCTTCCACAGAATGTCGCTGCATCGCCGGCAAGGATCGCGGTACGAACGGTACCGCAATCTCCGGCCAGGACTTATAGGTAAAGGTGGCCTTTGATGTCGGCCAATCTCCAGCAAAGCGGAGAAAGGCAGTGAGATCCGGAATGGTCGCAATCTCGGAGGCAGTCACCAGCGCCTGGCGCTCCCGCCTGTCGGAAGCATTCAGGTTGTCATTGGTACCAAACGAAATACCCTGTTGCTCCGACATGACATCTTCTTCCAGGAGCATTTTACTGTTCCACTCCGCAGCGTCCGGTTCGCTGGTACGGAACACCAATTTTGTGCCGAGCATGGACATAATACTTTTAACCGGTTTTTCGCCATAAATGTCCTGCAGCTCGTTGACGCTTGCAAACCCCAGCAACATTCGAAGACCGTGCTTCCTTCCTTCAAAAACACCCTTACCAAGAGAGTTAATTTTTTCGAAACTCTGCAGCTCATCAACGGCTGCCCAAATGACCCTTTCAGAAGACTTCGGAAGCGACAACACCGCCTTCACCAAGGTATCGATCCAGGCCGTAACAACCGGGTTCACGCTGTCCAATTGGTCCTCAGTCACCCGAATAAAAACCCAGCCTTTTTGAGAGTCATCTGCCGCCCATTCACGGAACGAAAACTGCTCCCTTTCCTCTAAGCCACGCAGATACCAAAAGCTACGAATTTTCGGAACCAAAGTCCCGATCACCGACATGGCATGTTCCGGCGAACTGGGATCAATAACCATGTCCGCGAGCGTACCTTTTAGAAGCTCGTTAACACCGCGAATTTTGATAATCTGATCCTCGCCCAAGGCATCCTTTTCTACCTTTTCATGGGCTACGGTCAGCACATCAACCAAGTCATCTATGGTTGTTTTTCCCTCCTGTTTCAGGCGATAAAAAAGCCAGGAAAGAACCGTCAAAGATGCTTCAGGCCAATGTTCATTGCCGTTGCTCCCCCCTTGAGGCAGAGGAACAAATGACTTCGCGAGACGCTCAAAATCGAACAGTTCCTCGCCTTCGTTGTAGGGCATCCAACCAACAGAGCGGTCATCGAAAGGCGAAAGAATTTTGTCCGTTTCCGGATTAAAAAGATGCTGCGTGAACTCTCCCGTTTTATCGACAATGACACCTTTGTGCCCTTGCGCTTTTGCCCAGCTCACAACCGCTAAAAGCGCCTGGCTTTTTCCGGTTCCCGTATCGCCGGAAAACCCCATATGGCGATTCTCCAATGAGCGCAACATGGGGATATTTCCCAACATTAGGGAGGACTCATTTTTGAGTCGTTTTATAGCAGCAGATAGCTCCCCAGCGTCGGCAAATTTACCACCCCTAATAAACTCAGAATCGGACCGGCGACTTTGGTATCGCAGTAGAGCAACAGACAGAAAAAAGACACAAACCAGAGCGACAGGCAATGCCCCTAAACCGGCATAAACCGCGTTCGTTTCAACCCTCTTTTTGGAGTCAGCCAAGACAGAAACTTCATCATTCCTGGTCACGGAGAAAGACCCGACGGTTCCATCCTGGTAATGAAGAGACATTCTCTCCCTGGAGGGAAAGTATCCGGCCTTCATGCCATCAGCAACCTGAAAGGCAGACCAGTTTTTGAAATCATAGAGAGGGGTTATCAGCGAAAAAACGCCAACGAAGGAAGCGACATAAAAGAGAAAAAAGAAGCCAATAACCAGGCCGATAGAACTTCCCTTTAATGATACGCCTGTTGTCGCTCTCCGGTATCCTTTCCAAAGATCAATCGTGCTCATAGTCGATTCCATTCTCCAGGATGAGATGCTTCATCTCTGGCAGCTCATCCCTGAACTGCCGATCCATTTCCTTTAAGACTTCATCGCCACGCGACCTCACAAGTTGGCGCATGAAGAACAAAGTTTTAAGCGACACAAATTCCAGACGGCGCTCCTGTTCCGTGAGCTTTTCACGGAGATCAAGGCCATCTTTTATTAAGGCGGATATGTGATGTGAACGAGTTTTGACGGGGCTTTCATCGATCACCTGTTGGATCTCAGCCAGCAACTCATTATCTATATCGAAGGATATCTTTACTTTCCCTGTCATATCTAACTCCCTGTTAAGACAAGGATAATATAACGTAATATTCAATAATATTCAAGAATACACAAAGTAATAGATTATAATACCGTATTTTAGTAGTAATATCAGCAGGTTATAGGAACATATACCAGCAACGACAGTTGCGTATGGTATGTAGCTCCACGGAGCGAAGCGACGGGGGGCTACCCCCCGGCGAATCGAGGAGGCCGGCCAGGCCGACATCCTTTGAGCCCTCCCATTTCGGCGCGCCGAAATGGGAGGGCCAACGCCCTGCGGGCGGGGCAATAGGGAAGAGAGAGTGTCCCGGCTTGGGAGTCTGGGAGCAACCATTTCGGCGCGCCGAATTAACCCCGGCGGAAGCTTTACCCGGCGCGAACCTTTACCCGGCTGGGCGAAGATGGGAGTTGCCGGCCTGGTTATTTCGGCGCGCCGAAATAACCAGGCATACGCCGCGTGCGGCGGGGCGATAGGGAAGAGAGAGTGTCGCCGGAGGGCGAGGGTAAGTAAACCTGACCATGGACAATAAAGACGGGAAGAGGCCTAAAAAAAGGCCTCAAGAAATAGGCACCAATAAATCAAGCTGCTACAGGCTGGGAGGATTGGCTGGCCTCGATTAGCCCTGCACCCAGGTCAGCCGCCACTGCCTCAAACGCCAAAGGCACAACTGCCTGCCCCATGATTTCATGGGCAACCGTTTCGCTGATCGTGGGTGTATCGATATACGTCTCTGCAATTCCTTTCATTCGTGCGTGTTCAATTCGGGTGATCTTGCGGGAGAGGTTTGGATTCTGAGGATGAAGGATAAATGGATCGGTCGTTCCTCCTTTGTAGTACCTCCGCGTAATGGTGGAGATTCTTATATCAGCTCCAGAAAACAGCTGACGCCTGAACCCCTTACCGTTTTCTTTATCCTTTTTTGCTTTTAAATTCAGGTAATCGTAAGGCTTCCAGATGGGGCTATCCAGGGGAATAGATTCGAGGACATCGGCCAACGAATCAGGCTTGCTATAAAGAGAGCTAACAGCATCCAGGTTGAAGCTGCATTCTAGCCCCTCCGTCATCGCCACCAAACAGAATCGGTCGCGATCTTCCAGGGCACCAAATTCGTTTCCGTTGATAACCCTTTCTTGAAGGTCATAACCGAAAGAAGACAGTACGCTTCGAATGGCACTCATACTGGCCGTGCCGGCATACTGTTTGACGTTCTCCAGAATGACCAATGCCGGGTCGGTCGCCTGCACCCAGTTTAGAAAGTAGATAAACAACGCCCCGGCCTCAAGATGATCCTCCGCATGTTTGAGGCCATTTTTAGCCATGCCGGAAATGGAAGCACCGGTGCAGGGTAACCCAAGAACCAGGACATCACTTTTAGGTGCTTTGTCGAGGCATACGTCTTTGATATCAGCCTCTATGAATATTGTGTCTTCGGAAAAGAGTTCAGGGTTTCTGTCAATGCTGATATCCAGGTACTGGCAGTCTCGTTCAAGAGCGACCTGAACAAAGCTACTAACGCCTGCCCGGGCCAGTCCGGAATGAACCGCTTTATCGATGATTCCGCCTCCATGAAACAGGCTATGGATATCCAACGGCTGCTTTAGCCGAAGCTTTGTTAACAGCCGCCCTACCCTGTCGGCGGCCCGTTCCGAGATCCGATGGCGGCGGATTGTGATTCGCCCCCGGCGGATCGCAATCCGCAGTTTCTGATTTTCCCCAAACCACTGGAGCAAAGCCCGGTTGGAAAGATCAATAATGGGCTTGGCATATCCCCTGCTCTTTCGGCTGGAAACGGCGCGGGGGCCACTGGTCGATTTAACCAACACCAGCGCATCGGATCGGGTTGTTTCCAACCGGTACCGAACACCCGCGCCAAAACCCTCGCGGTCCAGCTTGCGCCCTTCCATCCAGATCCTCGGCGCCCCTCGTTGTTGTCCGACTGAGGTAATGATGATCGCCGTCATTGGATCTCTCCCCGGTCGTGGATGCTCGCCATGATGACCAGCCCTGCGCTAACAGCAATGACTGCCTGATCTTCGAAGCGCTCCATGTGGTTGTTTGCGTCCTTGTCGTTATCGGCGACGGCCGTCACGACAAAGGACCGGCCATAGACGTTGATTCGCAATTTTTTGTTCGAGGGAATAAGGACCATATCTGTCTTGCTCCTGCGGTGTGGTGGATGAAATCAATCAGTAGGTGCGGCATAATGGAGGGGTCTGACCTCTCTTAGTCGAAGGATCGGACCGGCCTCGGGGGCTGTGGTGGCCCTCGTGGCCACCCTTCCCTATCTGGCGCGCTGTGCGGCCATCAAAACTGCCCTGAAATCCCGAACGGACAGCGGCCCCAGCCTTACGGCGCTGGCGTCTTTTAGGAACGCTTCCCGGACCTTCGCGGCCAGAGCTCGTTTACTGGGGGTCGATTCGTGCGGAAGGAAATAGCGCATAACGTGTGCCTCTCTGTCGAAGGATCACCGGCAAAATGTGGTGGGCCGGCCAGTACCGAAAGCGGCGGGCATTGCCCGCCGCCTTGCAGTCAGTCGATGAAGCGGAAGATTCCAGCCGCTTCGGGGTGGTCAAGGGCAAATTCGCGGAGCCAGTGGAACTGGCTATTGAAGATGTGTTCCGGTGAATGCCATGACAGATGGCTATAGGCCATCAGGCAGATAGCTACGCCCGTCGCTTCCGCAGAAAGCTCAACGTCCGAATAGTTCTCTGCATTCACCAATCGGAAAGTTCCTTCAGTGCCCGGAGACATGAAGAACCCACCATTCGAGAGTTTGAAGAACTCCCAGTAACCGCCGTTGTATTCCTCACAGTATCTATCCATGAGATTGAAGATCAGCGGCTCAACCAACGTCATGCCGTGACGGAAGAAGTGCGGCAGGGCGCGAAGGCGCATCTTGCCGGTGAGAGGGGAAGCTACGATTTGAGTTTCTGGTTGTGCGGACATAATGTCTCACCTCTATTGCAGTTGTCGAAGGATCAAACCAAGCCAGCGGAGCCAGGCGTACCTGGTGGTGTGCCCCAACTGACACTTACTATTATATACCACTGTGGTATTTATGCAAGTATATTTCCCTCTTTTTTGTAACAGAAATCCCATTCTGCCAATGAGTTACGCCAGTTTCGGCGTGCCGAATTGTCCGCACCTCCCGCACTGAGCGCAGCGAAGAAAGGCCGCGCACCGGTTCCCGCCGGACACCTTGTCCTGGATGCGGCCGTAGCCCAAACCAGGCAGCGCCGGCGCACAGAGCTGCGGGGGCACCGCCCCCGCCCATCCAAAGCATCAGTTACAGAGCATCAGGCAACACCAGGTGCACCAGGAATAGGGGAGTACCACGGGGGCCCCGCTACGCGGGGATCATCCTGCGGTGGTGATCCTGCAGGGCCAGGGGCCCGGAAGGTTCACGACCGCGAGCAGGGGAGGCGTTAAACAGTCTCGGAAGTGCCGGCGCCAGCCGGCGGTGGAGAGTCTGTTGCCGACAGGTAGAGGTCCAGGGCTCTGCCCTGGTCGCCCAGCGGGCGAAACAACAACCAGGAGCATCAGCCGGCACCGGTTATCCACGGCCCGAGGGCCGGCGACCCAGCGTGTCAGATTGCCCGGCCATCAACACCCCGCAACCAGTATCCAGGATGCACTCGCCGGCCCGAGTCCCGCCGGATTCCCTGGACCCCAAAAAGTCCAGGGGAGCCGGCGGGATTTAGGCGGTGGGCAACCGGTGACGGATGAGGCAGCCTTGATGGCCATCAGGGTCCAGGGCAAAGCCCTGGTCGCCGGGACGGCGAAAGCGAAAGGGATACGGAGGGCGACAGTCCCGGCCAGCGGCCGGGATGAGCGATCAGCGAACCCGCAGCAGCCCGGCCCGTAGGGTTCGCCATTTAGACCCTGTTAACCTGGAACTCGGGCGCTCAGACAGCCAGAAACCCTCCGGGCTGTGAATAGACCAATCTCCAGAGCAACACAGGCGAGAATTGCCGCAGCAACTGGGTTCGGCTCAAGCACTAGGTAGGCTGCGACCGCAGTCCCCAGGTTGCTAACTGCGGCCATAGCGAAGACGGCTACTTTACTGAAACCATGCCGCTGTCCCGCGAGGGGTAGGGCGAGCATCGAAACAGCCACCCAGGCGGCAATGACGACGGTGAAAATGACT